TCCTAACCTCATCTTTGATATAATCTTCCATTCTGTTGATGTAATCTTCCACTCCGTTCAGTTTCGATCGTGGGTCTCCAATGCTTTACGCCATTCTACCTTGTTCTCGGCCTTCGCCATGTTCCTCTTCACGTCCTTCTCCCCTGTGATCACTTCTATCCCGTTGTTAGGTTTTTATACTCCTTTTTTACATGGTTTTACCCAGTTTCAGTTAAGAGTAGTAAATAACGTGCTCCCAGAAAAAGAACCGGTAGGGAAGTTCCGAGGCGCAGCTGCCTTCAGGGGGGCATAACTTCCACATTTAACACCGTCTATCCACGTTGTGCGTAATCGACCTCGTCCCTGTTTGGGCTGCTTGACCCACGATCATTTTCAAGTACAGACCAGATTGAGGCCCGGCTGACACGACCGATGTACATGATAATAGCCAATAAATAGCTTTATTATAATTCATGCGGGAGATAAAAGAGGAGATAAAAGGGAGTAATGATAAGACGTCTTCAGTCTGCTTCATCACCTGCAAAGAGATGTAAAAATAGCAGCACAACCAACAGATACAGTATAAGAGATACAATAAAGTAACACCTTGATACTGTCGCTGAAGTATAAGTAGTATTATCTATTCTGACATGTACTCTGTGTAACCTGAAGATAAAAATATGGACTTTCTGTATGGAAGTGAATCTCTAAGTACCTGGAACCAAGCACCTGTAGTTGTTTGTGAGAGTGCACTTGTGCATGTAAAGTTTATCCAAAAGGAGAAGTGCTCAATAGCCAACATTTTCCTCTGCTTCACCGTCTTCCTTCATTTGCAAAGTTAAATCATCTTACTTTATAAAAATCCTCTCAGATCCTGGTCAATATTCAACAATGGGCTGAGTGGGTTTAAGTAAGTTTACTTTGGTAACAATGGCTGACAAAGCTAAAAGGTAAAATGAACATGGTAAAAAAAAAAAAGGAAGCTGGTTCTTTAGCAGACCAACATGTTAAAAATGACGTCAACAATAAAATCTTGAGAAAACTTAACAGCTAAATTTTGGTTTGCTAATTTCTTTTAAATAAAACATAACTGCAGAGCTAAGAAAACAACAAATGAACTATAGAAACACTGAACTGAGACTTAGGCTTTTCTTCATCATCTCTGTATCTTCTGATTGCAGACATTCAACAAGACAAACTAATCAAGAGGTCAAACTCCACCTTGAAGCGACTGGTTGTCCTGGTTCCTGTCCTTCTCTGTGCGGTCACTGTCATCGCCCTTGGAATCAGTAAGTTTTAGTTGTTATGTGGAAATCTTGATAAGATGTATCTCAGACAGAAGGACTGAAAATACAATCTGGACAATGAAGCCTCATTCAGACAAAAACTGCTGCAAAAACTTGAATCTGAACAAAAGAAAAACAGAGAAAAGGCAAAGTTATAAAAAAAATAGTTGCAGGGTGATTGATTTAGAGACTTGAAACAGGAAGTTTCTTTTAAAATCATGGACAGAAACACTTTAGGAAAATACACCAAGAAAAAAATGGAGGAATAAAATTTAAAGGAGATTTAATCCAATAAAATCAAGGAAATAAATAAACCCTGTTTCAGCAATCTCAAGTATGGAAATCAGCTAAACATTAAATCTACAATTTTTTTGTTGAATTGTTTGGTTTACTTTACAGTTTTATTTAAGAAAAATGGCTTTTCTTTATTACCAGTAGTGTCAAAAATGTTTTTTCTAATCTTTGCTGGAACAATTAGTGTTTCTGAGGCTCTCTGGAGTTCATCTTATTTTGGATATTTTTCTAAATCAACATTCCTTTAGAGTTTAAATTACAAAGTCTGAAATATTTGTAAAGAAAATTACAAATCTTGGCTGATTTCTGGTCTATTGTGGTTAAATTATTATGTAATATTCATCACTTTGAATCAAACTAACCTGAGCCTCCTGCTGTGTTTTTCTAATTAGTTGTCATCATTTTAAACACCAACAAAACCCCACAAACTGAGCAAGAGGAGAATGAAGCTCTGAGAAAAAATTCCTCAGGTGAGTTGGTCAGACTGTGACGGTGTCATAAAGGGTCAATCTGACACTGGTACACAACCACTATTTTTGTTAATGTTTATCCCAGCAATTTCTTCTCTTGTATATCTTCAATCTTAAAGGTGTTAGTGTCATGATCTGGCCTGTTTGCTCTCCCTTAATTAGTCATTCCTTTCACCTGTCGTTTTCCCTCCCTGCCTCAATTATAATTTATTCCTCTCACCTGTTTCCTCTTGGTTATATTCAGTTCAGCCTGAGCATTCAGTGCTAGATCATTAACTGTTTTTCTGTTAGCCTGTCTGTTCAGTTCATTTTTCAGTTCATGTCCTGGATCCTGGCGGCCAGTGGAAAGAGGGTTTTGGGTTTGTCTCATCTCCTGATCGTCCACTGTTCCTCCCCTGCTGAGTCCTTTGGGTTTTTGGCTCTATATGTGGGGAGGTTCAGTTTTTATCCAGTAAGCCTGGCTCCAGGGAGGAGACCAGTTTAAAGGTCCTGCATCAAGTTCTGGTTCCACGTCCTGTCTCGGCTACTGTCTGTCTGCTTCTGTGTGTGACCTCCTGATCATGCTTTCGGACCCTGTCAGACTCTGAACCCTCCTGGGAGCTTGTGGATGCCTGGAAGTCTGGATCCTGTTCCTGTCTATTCCTGTCTGTTCTGGATCCCTGACCAGGATCAGGTTCCAGCATGTCCTCTGGAACTGCAGCACTTAGGGACATTCTAGGACTGGACTGGTAAACCTGAGTGTCGGTGCCCTGCTCCCCATCCTGCAGTGTCCGCAAGCCACAGCTCCCCTTTTGTTTGATTTGTTTATTTAATAAATATTTTGAACTGTCCTACTGAATACTAGAAGCAAGGCTTAGTCTTATGGTCTTTAAAACAGAAGTTAACATAAAGAAACCTGGATGTCCTCCACATCATAAAGTCAACATTAATCCAAGGATTTCGTCTAATTTCTGTCACATGAGACATTAAAGAGATGTTAAAGGACCGCCAGATACAGAAGTTAGATTGTAACTGCTGGACACAAGACGCCTTCAAATCACACAAGCAAAGATTTTACACCTCAATGGTCAAAACGGCACAAAATCGCATGCACTTCATGCAGAGGATGAGGAAATGAGGATGAGGAGAGCCCACCTGCCACCATCCATTCTCCCCACCTTCTCCAGAAGCACCATAAAGAGCGTTCTGACCAGCTGTCTCACTGTGTGGTGTGGAGGCTGCAGCGCCTCAGACTGGAAGAAGGTGAGAAGAGTGGTGAGAACAGCAGAGAAGATCATCGCGGCTCCTCTTGCCTCCATTAAAGACATTTCATCCCAGCGCTGCGTGTCCCGAACCCGTGACATCATCAATGACCCCTCACCCCCCCACCACGGACTGATCTCCCTGCTGCCCTCTGGCAAGAGACTTCACAGCATTCAATGCAGGACCAGCAGGTTCTCCAAAGGTTTCTTCCCCACTGCTATCAGAGAGCTGAACTGTTGAAATAAACTCTAAATCATGTCACAGACTCTACATCAAACTGACCATAACTGTCACGATTTGGTTGAGGTTTAAGGACCCAAATGCAGAAACAGGAAAAAAGAGGCTGAGGTGATTTCTTGCAGTTTAATTGAAAAACACAGGTAACAGAGACAGCAATTCCAAAAATCCAACTAAAAATGTTAACAAACCAAAAAACATGGAGAAATCAGGGGAAAACGAGCACGAGGAGCAAGGGAGAGGCGAGGAAAGAAGACAAAAGCGACAAGGAACCAGCGATGACAAGCAACCAGCAAAGAGTGACAGCAGAGGGAGAGTATATATGGCTGACTGAACAAAGGCAGGGCTAAAGAGCTGATAAGGAGCAGGTGGGAGTGGAGATAACGAGGAAGCCAAAGAAAAAGGAACATGCACAAGAGGCAACAGAGGACAACAAAGAAAAACCTGAGAACTAAAATATATCTAGAAACACAAAGTAGGAAATAAACCAATGAAATGAAAATTAAACACATGGAGCAAAGTTATACAGAAAGTAAGACCGTGACAATATCAATGCGTTTCTTTTGCACCATATTTTTTTTTTAGTCCACAATGTTTACATTTGATCACTGTTGCACTTTAGGAATGGAAATGTCATGACAGCTGTACAAAACGAAATTTCGTTTTTGTTTACACTCTGTGTATACAAAATGGCAATAGAGTTTGTTTTCCTCCAGACTCACTGAGGTTTTGGTTCTAATCGGTTTATAGATGAACGACTTTTGAAGTGTGAAGCAGGCTGGGAGCAACATGGAGGAAAGTGTTATTATTTCTCCACTAATAAATCCTCCTGGGAGGAGAGCAGACGTTTGTGCAAAGGTCTGGGAGGAGACCTGGTGAAGATAGACAGCAGAGAGGAGCAGGTATGAAGCACTGCTGCAGGTTCATGTTCAGGAAAGATTTGATAAATTCATCCTGTTTCTTAATCTTGGTACATTAAAATCTCAATAAGTGATTTTTAAAGCATTTTCTTGTTCAGATGTTCATTAGAGAAAAACTGGTACATATGATGAAGAACGATGAGGACAAGTTCTGGATCGGACTGACAGACTCAGAGGAAGAAGGCAGATGGTTGTGGGTGGATGGATCTCCACTGAACACGAGGTTTGTTTTGAATAAAAAAATAATGCTTGATTAATCTTTAGAAATTTTGGACTAAAAATAGTTGCTTTAACTTTGTGATTCTGTTCCTCCTTACTTAGTTTGAGCTTCTGGACTGATGGCCAACCAGACAACTGGAGTAAGAGCAGCTTTAAACAAGCTGACTGTGTGAGGATGGGACAGATAGGAGGATCTGATGTGTTAAAGTCCTGGTTCGATACGTCCTGTGACGCTCATCAGAAAATAATCTGTGAGAAAGCAGAAAAAACTCGATAGACTCATTCTGTTTGAGTCTGAAAATTATTTCAGTCTGTAAAACAATCTGAGTTCGGGATCAAGAAGATTTTACAAAGAAAAAGCCAAACATATTTAAACCTTGCTACATAAACTATAAATGCAAAAAATTGTGAAGCTCCTTGAGCTCTAACTCCACCAGCTCTCCTTCTAAATAAGATAAGCAGCTAAGATTTCAACTGTCTCTGTTTGCATGTATTTATTCAATTCAACTGTTCATGAGATTAAATATATTAGAAACCAAACAGACCCTCTCATGTAAATAAGTAAAAAAACTGTGATGTCTGAACATGATAGTTTATTAGCTTATACAGGGTTTGATGCAGAAACAGACCAAACTGGATTCTATCAATTTGAAATAAACAGGAATGACTTGTTCTATGTCTGTGTACAGATCACAAGCTGGCCACTGTCTGTGCTTGTTTGTTAAATTTCTTTCAAGGACATGTTGTTTATGTTGATTATGTTGAAAGTTGCCAGGGTCAGAGGTCGGGGGGGGGGGGGGGGGTTGTCAGGGGGCGACAGAACCAGTTCACTCTTGCAGAATAGTTTGCCCCATTTTACACAAAGGGTTGAAATTTACCAGACTAACTTTATAAAACATAACAGTAAATCAGAAAGCAGGGGTTTTATCAAAACTGAAGAATGAATGGCAGAAAATGAGGGATAAAGAACAAAGGGAAATAGTTTTTTAGCTTCAAAAAGGCAGCTGGAGAAAAGAAACCTTGAGGAAGGAGCAGAAAAGATGATAACAAGACTAAGATTTGAACATAGATTATTTTAAGATTAAGGGAGAAAGCACATAAACAAGTGAAAAGAAAAGTGAACACAGCACAGCTGGTACAACCAGGCCAACCAAACAAAAAGCTAATGCTAACAAAAAGCTAAAGCAGTACAGGCTGGAGTCTGCTGTATAGATCTGCTTTATGTGGGCGTTAGACAGTCACAGCCAGGTATGGGAACAGGAAGGAGCTGGAAAGAGGGTGTGACTTAAGATGAAGGATGCAGATCTATTTATAGATGAGGTTAATAGTTAGTCTGCAACTGGAAAAAACATCAATACATCTGTCCTCTTTTCTGTGATTTTTTTCCCCAATACTGGTCATTTCTGTGTGACTTTCTATGAAAGAATAAGCATTTTTTTTTAAATGAGTAATTTAAAAGCTTAGAATAATTATGTTAACTCATAAATACATGAAACTGAAAGTTCAGCACCATGGACAGTGACAGTAAAGCCAGCAGATAATGAGACACATTTTGTCTTTGTTACCATTTTAACAACATTTGAAATCCTTTTTACTGAGAAATTATATTTGTTATCATTAAAATAAAGCACCAGATCTCATCAAATATCAAATGTTATATAATATTTGGACTGTTATATATTGCTCTGTAAACACAACCAGCTGGCTGTGTGTTAGGAAAATAAATGAAACATTAAGGGAGCTTAAATCATTGTGAAACAGATTACTCTGCACATATTTGGAATAAATTTATCCCAATAGCCTTTAGAAAAATACTTTATTAACAAAAATTATTCAATTCCACGTCAAAAGTTATTTCAGTTAAAAGTAGAATGCTGAAACAATGACCGGAGTACTGAGTTCACTAAGACCAGATGTGCAGAGAAGGGATTAGAAGGAAACTGAGGGGAAAAGTGACACTAGGGACAATGAGACCAACAATGAACTAGAATTAAGATGAAATAAATAAAATAAAAGATAACTGGAGAATCACCAAGAAAAAGTTAAACTAAGAAGTAATTCCAAACAACATAATTCAAAACAGCAGACATATAATAACATAAACAACCAAATAGGAAAAAGTAAAACATAAAACTAAAGTCTCGTGGAGTAGATCATGTCAGCCGATTCAGAATAGATGTCATCTCAAGGCACCTTTACAGAGATAATACAGTCAGACCGGTTACAGGTTTTTCTTAAGCCGAACCAGCTTATTGCATCAAATCCTTGACTTGCAAGACATGAGAAAATTTCACTTGCATTTCGTCGTTGACTCTTCAGCAATACCTCGCACCAAGCATGCATATAGCTACAGTTGAGAGGGAAAACTTTCTTTTAAAAGAAAAGAACCTCCAGCAGCACCAGGCTCAGTGTGAGCGGCCATCAGCTGAGGCTGACTGGGGTTCAAGAAGACAGAAGCAGATATACAGAAAGAAGCAGACAAATATTGCTGTTAACAAGCTATACAGGCTGCCCTGTCCAGGAAACACACAGCCAGGCAGATGAGCTCCAAGCCGGCTCCAATGTCAGGGGATGCAAGAGAGCACATCCAAAACAGGCCGATCTCTAACATCTAGAAACAAAGGTGTTGATGGCAGCAGCACAGCTGATATTTCTCTCCAGGATGGAGTCACAGCCAAACAGGAACAGACCAGATGAAGCTACTATGATGAGAAAAAGAAGAGAGAAAATAAAGTTATGAGAGGAACTCAACAATTTCAATTAATTTCAATTCAATTCAAAAATACTTTATTAATCCAAAAGAGAAATTAAATACTTTTCTTTTCTATGGGGAATGTTGGCCTAGTGAGTTGAGCAGTGCGGTTGTGCTCTGAGAAGGTTGCAAGTATCTGGTTCGGTCCCCTCAGCCTCCACTCTGGGTCCCTGTGCAAGACCCTTATCCCCACACTGCTCCCCGGGAGCAACACAATGACAGCCCACTGCTCCCCAGGGGGATGAGTTAAATGCAGAGAGTTAATTTCTCCAGGTTGAGATCAATAAAGTTCAATTAACTTATTATTTATCTTAAAACTGCAGAATTGAAGAACAGGGATAAAATGAAGCAGAATGATGACAGGTTGTCCCTGTAAGTAAGGTTGCTTTGTTCTTTGCAGTCAGCTACGTCTCGGTCTCCAATTTCAAATGGACTTCACAGTATAGGGCTTGGAATCCTGAGGTTGTGAGTTTAAAATCCACTCCCAATAAACTGGGCAAGGCCCTTAACCTCTGATTGCCCCCCCAGGCGCTGCACAGTGGCCACTGCTCTCTAAAGTGGAAGGGTTAAATGCAGAGAGTTAATTTCTTAGCAGCTGGCCAGCTCAAGTGGTACATCACCCGTCCTGCAACAGGAAGCCTGGGTTCATATCCCAGCTGGGGGGAAGGAGCTAAAAGTGTGCATCCTTAGGCAAGACCCTTCATGCTAATGGGTTCTCCCTGTGCCCTCCAGCATTCTAAACATAAGGTAATATAAATACTGCTTCCATATGTCTTCCTCCTCCCAAAGTAAAAATAAGTGCAGGTTTTGATCTTTTTCTGATTTTTGTCCTTTAATGTTTTTTTATTTTTTTTAGAGACATCAATAGACCGGCAGATACAGGCTGTAAGATGGTAGCTGCAAGACTTAAGGTTTGCATTTGATAAAAAAAAAAAAAAAATCATGTTTAATTGATCTTGAAAACTTTTGGGGATCAAGAACCTGTTAGAAAGAAACTTTGAACCAAATACAAGAAATAGGTTCCTAAACATTTTTTACATACTCACTTGTCTAGTGTTACTTACCAGAAACACTTGGTGTTTCTGGTAAGTAAAAAAAGGAAGGAAATAGGCTATGCTGAAAATGAAGGGTACTCCTATTTTAGTCTTATTGTAACATTTAGTTTGTGTCAGCGATGGGTCGAACAGATTTTCTTTCAGTCTAAGATGTCCGCAGAGCAGAGAGGACACATTAGCGGTGAGTCCAGAGCATATTCTGTCAAAAACTTTAAAAAAAGAGGAGATGTAAAAAGTATCTAAACTACACAGAGAGATTTCTGCGCCAGTTAAATATATATAGTGTTTTTTCCACAGATAGGTTTCAAATCTGTTGTCTTTTTCTGCAAAACTTCAGTATATAAATGTAGATATTATTTTTTCACCTTTAAATTAAACTCACACAAGTTTATAAGAGTTCCAATTTAGGATGAATTCTTGTAAATATATTTGAAACATTGTGCATTTGATATTCTCGGTTCTCTGGGCATTTCAAGAATACAAAAACTTAGCGTAATAAAAAAAAAACCTAAAAATTAACTTTAAGGTGTCATAGAAAAACTCAGCGCTGTCTTTGTTTGTAGGAGAGATGTCCTCCATGTGGAGTAACCTCATGATGAGACGTCCTCAGAGCAGTGAAGGAGGTAAGAAGGTGCATCGGGAGGTAGATGAGGAGACGGTGCTGAATTGTCTTCATTGGACAAAAAAAAAAAAAAAATGGCTGAACACAAACTGTTTTCTTTTGACAACCTTTAAAATCTGAACTGGACAAAAACATTATCCAAAACAACAAAATACGTTAAATCAGGTTAATACATCGTGTCCAAATGTTAGTAGATTAAAAATTAAGATTTATTTGTTCATGTTTTTAATAAGAGAATTAAAAAAAGGAATTAATACCAGACATGAAGTGTTTATCAGGTTTAAAGTTAGCATAGAAACTGTCACTGCACAAGCAATCAGGAAGTGAAACACAGTAAAACAGTCGTCACGTTTGTTTCTGGTTGGTAGATGTTTTTAAAATTGGCCGCATAAAAAATTTTGTAATGTATCCTGGGCTGTTTCAGAATGAATAAAAAATCTTTATCATATTAACATATTAGCATTGGAGCAACATTAAGAGACAGGAGACTGTGGGGAGGGGTCTGCCTTGTTGTTCGGGTATTGTGGAGTAAAAATTTTGTTTTCAACTTATGTCTGCCTTTTTATGTAACCAGTGTATTGTTGAGGGTCACAGGAAGGATGTAAGGATGCAAAATGACTCTGCACAAACTTAGCAGAGCAGCATAACAGAATAAACATCAGTGCAGAAGCTGTAAAAAGGAACTGTCAGTTTAAAATAGGCTTTACTTATCAGTAGCAAACGGGAATATTGTTGCTCCCGACTTCGCACATGTATGTCAAAGTTAAGACAGTACAACATAAGTTGTTTGAAGGATTCCATGTTAGACCTACCTCCAGCCAAAACAAGTTTGGGTATGGACATTTTAT